TAAATTACAGGCATATGTGAAGTGCAAGAGTGTCTCTCTTAAATCCAACTTCCAACAATTCAATTGCTCATTTCATAATGAGGTACAGCTGATTCGGCTAATTGCAAATCTGCTGAGCTGCAAAATAGAAGTGTTAATGGTGGGAACATGGGAGATGTGAGCAATTGAGCATCTGCATCATTAAAACCCATTGCATCCCCAAAATTGACAGGCTTTTGTGTAAATGCATAGATGACTTTATGCGTGCTATGTTTTTGACAAGTAAGAGTGGGATATAAAATCTAAAAACTTGGAAGTGTGCACACTTCGAACCATGTTTGCTTATTGTACCCATAAACAATCAAAGACAAACAGATACTAAGAACCATGTTTGCTTATTTTACACAAACAATCAAAGACAAACCGATGCTAAGCTTAACACTTGAATATTAAGTTCCATGCTATTTAATCTTCTAGTTTAATCTTCTAGTGGCTTATTTTACCCATAAACAATCGAAGACAAACAGATACTAAGAACCGTGTTTGCTTCTTTTACCCATAAACAATCACAGACAAACAGATACTAAGCTTAGCACTTGAACATTAAGTTCAATGCTATTTATCTTCGAGTTGCTAACAGTTCAGAGTTGCTGACATTCTGAATTTGCAAGCTTTTTCCTATAGAATTTCTAGATATCCTAGTCCTATCTGATGATATCATCATAGGATATTATTTTCTGATAGTTGATACCATACTAAGTTATCTCCATTGGGAAGTTCTTGAATCCAGCACAATAAGCCAACCACAAAGGGAATATCTTGTACTGAACGAAGTGCATACCATAGCATTTCGGAATTTATTTTGCAGATAGTTCGTAAGGATCACCAAAGGAACCTGTTTATAAAACTTTTAAAACAACAAATACAGCCATAATTGCACAATAAAACATCATATTAAAATTTTCTTGTCAAGTAAACTAAATTAATAGAATTTTTGCCTTGATTGAAAAATGTTTTTTCCTATTCATGATAGACCTATTATCATGTACAAACTCATGCCAGAATCCAAGAATAGAAAAGGATCCCCAAAAGAAAAATCATATAGGAAGAAAAGTTTCTTGTCAAGTAAACCAAATTAATAGAATTTTTGCCTTGATTGAAAAATGTTTTTTCCTATTCATGAGAGACCTATTATCATGTACGAACTCATGCCAGAATCCAAGAACAGAAAAGAATCCCCAAAAGAAAAATCATATAGGAAGTAAACAAGGGAAAGAAAACAAAAGATGCAAGCTCTCTACTTTTTAACATTTCAAAAGAGATCGAGATAATGGAAAGAAAATCAACTATCAGAAAATGAGATCTGGCCATGATCAGGCGACTATGAGTGTCCCTTTCATTCATGTTAGTTTTTGAGTGAGTCATTTTGCATGTATATTTGTAATTTGAAATTTGAATGCTCTTATGAAAGTCATTAGTGCTATTTCTCCAATTTGGACTATTGAATGAACGCTTGTCACTCTGGGTGTTAAAACTAGTAGTATCTATAAGTTTTCTATTTTTTTCTCAATATACATAAATTTTTTTGTATTTTTTCATGTAGTCATATTTCACACTTTTTTCAATTGTTTAAGCTTTTTTTTTTTTCATGCCGTTGGCTCAGGTGGACTCAAGATTCATTGAGCCAACTCTGCTTTGGCCATAACCGAGTAGGGCCCCCCTAGTTATGGATTTTAAAACATTGAACTAGATAACTAGACTATGTCGAGAAGATGTCACTGATGGTTTTTTTTTCCCCTCTTCGCAGAGTGGTGCCATTATGATTGCTTTCCTCGTTTCTTCCCTATTTCATGAGGTATGATCTTTTGCTTTCATCTATGATGCATGTTTGTGATTTTCATTCATGCTTGTAAACATTCAAAAATGGTGGTGAAAGAGCAGATTATGACATAAGTAATGATTCCTGTGTCTGTTATGCTGGACTTTGTTGTGGTTAGTATGTGCATAAGATTGGAACAGTACTTGCTCATAGTGCTTGTTGCAATATTTAATTTCTATGACACAGTGGTGTTCATTTTGGGGCTAACTTGCAAATCCGAACAACCAACGTGGCTTAAAGGTCATCTTTGTTCTTTGTTAAGGTGTAAAAAAAGAATTGATATTCTTTACCTTCAATTTCTTGGTTATGTAACCAACAAGGCTCCTTTAATGAATGGGAGAATTTGTGGTTGATCCATATCCCTAGCTCAAGGTTCAAGAGCATAAAGATGGGATGGTGGATAACCGATCACTTTTAAGAGGCATGGGCAAAATTAATCAGTTGTTGCTACTAGTGGTGGTTTGTTATGTGGAGAATTATATATTTTATGCAAAAGAGCAGTCACTAGAATGTAGACCTAGTTGTTTTTCTCAGGGGTATCACAGCTGCTCACTATCATGGATGTGCAGTTGCAGTTTTCGATTCTAGTCAAAGAGATCTTACATGGACATGCCAGTTGATAGATAAATCAATATGTTAGTAGATAGTCTTTAAATGTCACAGAAACATACTTACTATAAAGATTCATAGTCGTAACAACGGTGGGAGAGAGGGAATGTCAAACTTTACAATATTAGGTTAGGTAATAGCTAGGGCATGCAGTTAGCAGTGCGAGTGAGGCTCCCAGCCGGACAGCCAATGTCAACCCCACCTTGACTACAAAATATCTACTAAATTGCTTTTCAGCCTCTTTTTAAACTAAGAGATTTATCAGAAATTTTATATTTAGAGGCATAAAATATATCCAACTAAGTCAATTACAATCATCTGAAAAATCAGACATTGACAAGGTGGTCATTGGCAAAAATCTAATATCAAAAAGAAAGAAAATATATTATTGGTAAAAATATATTCTAAAGGAAAGGAATAGTAGCTCTCACGAAATTAGGTGGGATCTGTTTGGTATCGATCTTAGTTTAGGAAAAACAAAGTGAATGTCCAAGTCAATGTGTTCTTAACAAACTCAGAAACTCGGTGGGGACATCATGGTCATCACCAGTGTGGAATGAACCTCGTCATCAATGTTCTGAAGTGAACACTCTCAGAGCATTCCCTAGATGTTCTGTCACTGAAATTCAGTTAGTCAGCTTCTTGCTCAAAGAGACATTCCCTCATAGCAAATTCTTCAATTTAGAAAGTAATCACGATTTCATTGATGCTTGCTAGAAGCATAACCCTAACTTAAGCACTATCATAATTTCCCCTAATCCATAAGCATTTCCTCTTCCACATGTTGGTCTGCATTGCCATCACAGTATCAAGAGAGTTACTTCAAATATTTTTGTCACCTATTACATATTTCGAGAGGCATGTTCCGAATATGAGAATTATATTGATAAAACCAGTGCAGCCACTTATGTGGAAGAGTTCAATGGAGAAGCCTAGTCATGGTCCTAGATTGTATTGAAGAGGTAGTGCTTTCTCTAAGTCTCAATATCTCTTGTGACATATTAGAGGTCCAGTAGGTGGAATCATTGTGTTTTGACTCTTGAGTCTTGAAACTGCTGAACTGAACCTTGATCTTGTTTTTCTCTTATTACCTTGCATAAATGGTGTGCTGCATTTTGAATTGTTTTTATGTTTGCGTGCTTGAATAGCCATTCCATCTCTTTACATATTTCTCTTATCCACAGTTTCTACTTTATTGTATTTTCTGCCATGCATTTGCATTTATTGAACTGCAATTCATATTCTTCTTTTACTAGGTAGCATCCGGCATTTTGAGACTCTTGTGATCACACAATGTTTTGAATTTTTTGTGTTTGCAGCTATGCATTGGCATCCCCTGCCACATTTTTAAGTTTTGGGCTTTCATTGGAATAATGTTTCAGGTAAATGTTGTGCGTATTCACTATTTA